TTGCACCTCACCCCATTTTGCACAAATTTCACGGATCAAAGAAGTAGCAAGATCAGAGACACGAACACCATTTTCATGTTTGGCTATGATTTCTTTCTTAACATCTATCATGATATTTTTTCTTTTCACTTTGCTGCTATCATTGTCTTTCTTTGGCCCCATGCTGGATCATTCTTCTACGAATACTGCCGACGTTGATACTCCCAGCTTATCGCTCCACGATGTTGACGGCTTGCGTGTTCGTAACTCGAGACACAGTACGTAATCCGAGACGCTTTGTGTTCAGAAAATTTGTTCGTAAACTGAATTGTTCGTGATCCGAGGCGTTTGTGAACCGAGGTTTGACTGTATAGGCAAACCCAAATTAGAAACAATATCATACACAAAGAAAATAAATGAAGAAATACAAATAAAAGCAAATAATCCACCTAGGGAAATACTAATATAAATGTTAGACACTAAAGAAGTACAAGGAACTAACCAGGCTAGATCATCTATCAAGGCAACCTATCTAGATCATTTCCCTTATTGAGAAGGTGCCCTCAAGGGAGATAATGTTTATGCTACATAATACTCACAAAATAGAACAGTTTACAAGCAGATGTATACAATGGGGAACAAGGTGATTCAAGAATTGGTGATTGAAAACTGATAAATAAGCGTATCATGAATAGTGGTAATTTACAACAGGAATAAGTAAATGTTGCATCATCCATATAATACTGAAGTGGGCTAGAGAGGTACAGAATGATAATGGTGTCGCAGTACATGCACTAAACCACAAACAGGACAAATGAAATATGATGTAACATGCATAAATAGTTGTCATGTATAGAGTAAGTAATGCTGACCCACTATACGCCATATAGGCGCTTGTGGGGAGTGATCATATAGATCATACTGATCATACTCATTCTTAACCTCGCAGCCTGTTTTGATAACAATCCTTATGTGTTTTTGTATTTTCAACCAAATATGTGAATAATGTACCACTGATGATGGCCCTGAAAAATATAAACTTCAAAAAAAAAAATTCAAAAATTTCGATTCTTTTTAGTTATTTTCGTTTCATTGACATCCGAACTTTTTGAAATTTTTGAAAAATTTCAAAATTTTCAAAAGGCATCGATTCCGGCAGAGACCGGGTCCGTCAGAGACAAGGTACGGCAAAGACCAGGTCTGACAGACACCATGTCAATGACAGACCTGCTCCGTCAAAGACCGAGTCGGGCAGAGACCCGCTCAACCACAGAAGAGATGCATGCCAGCCTCGGTGAATGCCACCGCCTGTCTCTGCCGGACTGGGCCTCTATCTCGGTTGCTGACTGCCTCGGTGTCTTCAACAACCGGCCTCTGCAGGCCTCGGTGTGTGGCCGACCGTGAGTCTGCCCGTCTCCGTCACTGCCTTACGTGGTGTCTGCCGCACCTGGGCTTTTCAGAGACTGCACGTCAGAGGCCGTGTGAGGCAACGACCGCTTTCGTCAGTGACACAGTACAAAGAGACAGTCCGACGGAGACCGGTTCTGCAAGGTATCAGGTGGGAAGAATTTTTAAAAATTCGAACATTTTCGAAAAATCAATGATGCTGGAAATTGTCCAAAAGGAGCACAAAACAAAATTTTTGAAAAATTTCACATTCAAAATTTTCTTAGAATTTTTAAAAAAAATTGGTTTTGTGCGCTTTTCAGAGAATTTCCAGCATTTTTTGATTTTTCGAAAATTTTGAAGATTTTCAACTTTTTTCAAAACTCTTCCCATGAGTTGCATGCCAGCCTTGTTGAATGCCACCTCCTGTCTCTGCCGGACTGAGCCTCTATCTCACGCGATTGCTGACTGCCTCTGCAGGCCTCGGTGTGTGGCCGACCGTGATTCTGCCCGCCTCGGTCTCTGCCTTACGTGGTGTCTGCCGCACCTGGGCTTTTCAGAGACTGCACGTCAGAGGCCGTGTGAGGCAACGACCGCGTTCGTCAGAGACACAGTACCTAGAGACAGTCCAACAGAGACCGATTCTGCAAGGTATCAGGTGGGGAGAATTTTCAAAAATTCGAAAAATTTTGAAAAATAAAAAAATGCCAGAAATTATCCAAAAAGCGAAGAAAACAAATTATTTGAAAAGAGTCACATTCAATTTTTCTTTCGAATTTTGCAAAAAAATTGTTTTTGTGCGCTTTTCAGAAAATTTCAAGCATTTTTTGATTTGGCGAAAATTTTGAAAATTTATAACTTTTTTCAAAACTCTCCCCATGAGTTGCATGCCATCCTCGTTGAATTCCACAGCCTGTCTCTGCCGGACTGAGCCTCTATCTCACGCGATTGCTGACTGCCTCTGCAGGCCTCGGTGTGTTGCCGACCGTGATTCTGCCCGTCTCGGTCTCTGCCTTACGTGGTGTCTGCCGCACCTGGGCTTTTCAGAGACTGCACGTCAGAGGCCGTATGAGGCAACGACCGCGTACGTCAGAGACACAGTACCTAGAGACAGTCCGACAGAGACCGATTCTGCAAGGTATCAGGTGGGGAGAATTTTCAAAAATTCGAAAAATTTTGAAAAATAAAAAAATGCCAAAAATTATCCAAAAAGCGAAGAAAACAAATTATTTGAAAAGAGTCACATTCAATTTTTCTTTCGAATTTTGCAAAAAAATTGTTTTTGTGCGCTTTTCAGAAAATTTCAAGCATTTTTTGATTTGTCGAAAATTTCGAAAGTTTTCAACTTTTTTCAAAACTCCCCATGAGTTGCATGCCAGCCGCGTTGAATGCCACCGCCTGTCTGCCGGACTCGGCCTCTATCTCACGCAGTTGCTGACTGCGTCGGTGGCTTCATCAACTAGAGACTGCATGTCAAAGGCCGTGTGTGGCAACGACCGCGTTCCTCAGAGACACAGTACAAAGAGACAGTCCGACAGAGACCGGTTCTGCAAGGTATCATGTGCGGAGAATTTTCAAAAACTCGATAATTTTCTAAAAATCAAAAAAATGCTGGAAATTATCCAAAAAGCGCACAAAACATAAAAATTTTGAAAAAATTCACATTCAATTTTTTTCCCCAATATTTGAAATTTTTTGGATTTGTGCGATTTTCAAGCAATTTCCAGCATTTTTTGATTTTTCGAAAATTTTCAACTTTTTTCAAAACTCTCCCCATGAGTTGCATGCTAGCCGCGTTGAATGCCACTGCCTGTCTCTGCCGGACTCGGCCTCGGCCTCTATCTCACGCGGTTGCTGACTGCCTCGGTGTCTTCATCAACCGGTCTGCGCAGACCTCGGTGTGTAGCCGACCGTGTATCTGCCGGTCTCGGTCTCTGCCTTACGTGGTGTCTGCCGCACCTGGGTTTTTCAGAGACTGCACGTCAGAGGCCGTGTGATGGAACTACCGCTTTCGTCTGAGACAAAGTACCTAGAGAGAGTCAGACAGAGACCGGTTCTGCTAGGTATCAGGTGGGGAGAATTTTTAAAAATTCGAAAATTTTCGAAAAATCAAAAAAATGCTGGAAATTATACAATAAGCGCACAAAACAAAATTTTTGAAAAAATTCACATTCAAAGTTTTTTCGGATTTTTAAAAAAATTTGGTTTTGTA